CGAATATTCTACGGACAGAGCTTAGGGACAGAGCAGAATCATGTGATTAGTTAATTAGCGGTTAGGGACAGAGCAGGTTTTATAGTATCACATGATCCTGCTCTGTCCCTAAGCTCTGTCCGTAGAATTTCCGATCAAACACGGGTACATAACATCACGAGAGTATACAGAACTATATGGCATATAACACGGGACAGTGTGTGGGAAAACATGCCATAGACATGTAAAAAAAACGCAACAATACACGTAATAGCATGCTTTTACATGCTTATCCATGCAATTTCCAGTATAGTTACGTATAGACTGTTTATTATTTCGTGAACATATCGTGCACATAAGAAAATTTCATGCAATTACATGTTCATCGACTTTGCTTGCGTGCAGATTCCGTGCAACATATCTGAATTCAATGCTATATTTCGTGCTGACATGTACTCACGTGTAAAAATTTCTTACATAACAAGTTTGTAGCGTTTATTTCATACCCTATAACCTCTCATATTGATGACGAGCTCTAACCCTAGTATTCATGTAAAATCTGTAGATTTATTCAGTATCATTCGCGAATGACTAAAATCTGAATATTCATTAAATAACTGTGATGGATATTTAAAGGACCCCAACTCTATTGCTCACCCGTAAAAAAAAATTATATTAAAGAATATGATATATGAACGGATTTAGTATTTTGATTGGACAATGAAAGGTAATCTATCATTTCATAAAATTGAAAGCATTTTACATAGTCAAAATAAAATTAGGTTACGTAGATTCGCATTGTAGTCATGCTTAACCAGAAACCGCTAGACTTGTATTAAGGAGCCAATTGTAGTACACACTTTCCAATTATAAATTATCTTGTGCAATCTATTTCAAAATATTTTCATATTGTTAATTGCTTAAACTTGTGATATATATACTTAAGCAAAATCATATAAGTTTACTACGTATACTGCATAGCTTGCATATGAAATACGTATTATCTATAGAGATCCTTTGAATAGTGATGGGTAACTTAGATCTTTTACCATATAGGGTGATTTCTTTAACTGATTATGTTACTATATTAAGTTTAAGCATGCCATAAATATATTTAAATATTTGAATTTGAATATAATGGTTAAGGTATTTTGACAACTAGATAAATTCTTTAAATATATAGTTCGAATATACAAAAAATTATCCAGCAGCTTACTATGATTTGCGTATTACTATTGGGCAAAGACGATTGTTAAAGTAGTTTAGTTAAAAGTAGTTTAATTAAAAGTCGTTTAGTTAAAAGTAGTTTTAGTTAAAAGTAGTTAGTTAAAAGTAGTTTAGTTAAAAGTAGCTTAATTAAAAGTAGTTTAGTTAAAAGTAGTTTAGTTAAAAGTAGTTTAGTTAAAAGTAGCTTAGTTAAAAGTAGCTTAATTAAAAGTAGTTTAGTTAAAAGTAGTTTAGTTAAAAGTAGTTTAGTTAAAAGTAGTTTAGTTAAAAGTAGTTTAGTTAAAGTAGTTTATGTTATTGTCTGTCAAAAAATAAAATTATTGGGTAGGTAAATCAAGTAAATTCTTGATTGTGAACTAGTTTTACAGTTTTTATTATACCTATTAATAAACATTCTTCATGCTCATGAGCCAGATGAGATAATTTAATGCTAATGAAATGATTTGTACTGTACATAATGGTAAATAAGTATCTATGTTCCTGATTCTATCTATTAATAAATGTCCTTTATACTCACAGGCTAAATTAATACGTACGTATGAATGAAATGATTTGTGCATAATAGTAAATAAGGATTTATACTCTTGACTTGTTAACTCGTTTTGTTGTTTTTAATTATATTAATTAATATATATTCGGATATTATTCGTCACCCCTACTGGAGACCCGGAGGTACTACTATATTGATTTACTACTTTTAATATGACATATCCCCAAACATAGTACCCGGTTCTTCAAACAGTACTCACGGGTACTATTCAATTTTAAAAATAGAGTTCTTGAATAAAACCTTGGGTACTGTAGGCAGTGGCAATTCGACTGCCACCCACACCGCTGTATAGGCCTAGTAATACCAGACAAAAAAATTTCGCACGTTTTTAAAAAAACTTTTTGTGCTATTTGGTTAGGGTTTTACTATTAAGTTGAGCTAAAAGGGTTATAGTAAAATTTCGCTGAAGGCAGTTTCACAGGCAAAATTTCGAGTTACTAAGGATTTTGCATTGTTTTTGTTTTTTAAACCTATGGGTGGGTGGGTAGGTTGATTATTTTAGCAGTATAATGGAAACTCATAGATAAGATTGTCAACTACAATTTGACTTCTAAATAAAATTTTTAGCATAAAAATTTAGCTATACAAACGTATTTGAATATCGATTATTAAGTAAATAAAAACCTGTACTAAATTCTAATATTTATCATAACCTGGCACAAATTTCAGACATGCAAAAATTAATAACAATACCGAGCTCGTTTTTTTCTCTATTTATTTATGTTTTATTTATCTTCAAAAGATGTGTATACATACTGTATTTAATGATAAATTACAACAATCACTACGCACTTATTTTTATTAAGCGTACGTCTGGTTATGGGACTAACCGGGGGTTAAAAAAGATGTTTAATTGCCAGATATATCATGACTATTGAAAAAACATAGTTTTCTTATATATACCATGATACATGACAATTAAATTGTTTGTTAATTACAATATCAGGAATAAAAATACAGTATCTTAGACATCAGTAATAAAACCTTCATTAAAAATTAATATTAGATAATTATCTTTTATTTTTTTTTTACCTTATTGCATGATCATCTATTATGTTTGCTGCATTTTTATAGATGACACTTTTTATTGACAGCTTTAAGCTACATTTTGTCGTGGTGATATAGAACTACACATTAAATAATAATTGAACTATTGCTTAAAATTCGGCATTCTCGAGATATAGTTGCCAAGCTGTTTGGAACGATACAAACCATGTAGTAATTAATGTTACATTGGTTTTTACCAATTAATTTCTTATTGCTAAAACTATGTGATGCTAAGTATAACATATTTGGCACTCACACCCCAAAAATATGATTTAATTTTAGAGTATATTCTTTTAATCAACCCATGTATCAGTATATTAGAGTATTAAAAAAAACAAATAATCTAAATTTAGGGTTGTATTTAAATTTTAGGATTTGAACAGAATCGGTGGATGGTAACTGTACATACAGACGATATACTCAATTGGATCATTGAAAAGTTTTTTTTTCAATATACAAAACGAAGACTGTTCAAAAAAAAATCAACTTAATCATCAAATTTATACACTAAACCAATTTAATTTCTGTGAAGCAATGATGATGTGTCAAATTCTGACGAAAGAGTGATCTATTAATAATCATTCAAAAAATAAATCAGAGATATCACCATGTCTATAATTTATAATCCATCATCTTGTAGTTTCTTTTTTTCTTTACTAAACGATCCTCTTTCTATTATTTTAAAATTTCACAATAGTTTACATGGGGAGGAACATTGATGAATGTGCAAGCGTTCCTGACTCTTTAAAAAAAGCCCGCGCTTGTCGTGTTTGCTCGTTGATCAAGGTACTTTTTTGATCACTATTTTCGTTCTTTAATAATTTTCTGAAACTATATATATTTTATTTAGACTTATGATCAGTTTAAAAGAGAAGGATGCGATAATTGTGAAAGTTTTCTTAGACTTCGTGGCCAATCTGATAAGGTCAAGGAATGTACAAGTTCCGATTACGACGGGTAAGAATATATTATATTGCCCATTATCTTATAATATCTTATACTGTCCGAATAAAAACTTGTACATTTTGCATGAAAATTTCAGAATAGAAGTTAATTTAATTCGTAAAATTTTGATTTTCTATATCTGATATAACAACTTTCTACGATCATCAACAAATTCTAAAAAAAAGTGATACTGTAGTAATTATAATATAATTGTGGCTATATAGAAGTATTTTTAATATGAAAAAAATGGTACCGTATCTTGGTGTGATTGTATAGAATTTGTAATTTATATGAGAGGTGATTATATAGAGGGGCGACTGTACCTTTAGCAAAATTTAAATACTATTTTAAGTTCTTTTAGTTTTAGTCTAGCTAACTATTATTTATCTATAACACTTCTTTGTTAACCAAAAACCTTACTTGTAATAAAATTAGAATACATGCAAAATATATCCATTATAATAAAAGTCTAGATTTTGAAAAATCAGCATTTAATTAATAAAGATCTTGTGGTTCGTATGTGGGTCTAATTCATGGTGAGTCCACTACCAAGGGGAATCTTTGTATACGATCCTTTACAGTATTTATAAAGATTGTTTTCTAAATATAGAAATAAGATCTTTGCTAAAAGATATTTGAGTTATCATAATAAAATTTAACCATTTTTTTTGTTTTGTGACACAAAGTTTCTTATGTATATCCAATTGAATTTCAATTATGCTAATAGGCAAAAAAAAAAAAATCTAATTTGCATTTTAAATTTCATTTAGATTTCAAGATTCATTTTAAAATGTGATTAAAAGATTATTCTTGCATCAACTCAATTTAAAAGCACAACATAATACAAAATGCAAATAGTTTTTTAAATATAGGATAATTGCTTACAATCATATCATGATCATTTCACATTTTTTTAATAGCTCATACAAATGTTTGCTGTAAATTAGCAATTTTTTATTATTAAGTGATGTTACAAACACAAAGAATCATTGTTGAATTTGTTCTGTAATTAATTCATGAATAAATGAAACATAAAATTCGACTCTGATTTTGGTTATTTACGTAATTGAAGAAAACTATACATATTATCATTTTTCCATCTTACTGCACTCAAATTAGAAATTACGCCTCATGACCTATATTGATAACAGGCAATGGTAGCTTTAAAGAAAAATACATAAAGTTTAAACAGTAAAAATTGGAAATCCTTATTTACCCGTTTTCCTTTTTTCGGCATAAGGTATTTATTATCATCGTCTCGTGAAACGTAAATACCTTCGTCCATCATTATGTCTTCAACCCATTCCGGAAGTTCACCGTTAACACCAACAGCATAAGTACCTGGTACATAACGTGCTATAGATACGTAGTAAAATTATTATAAATCCTTAATATCAACACATCGACATTTACTAAAAAAGAAATAACAATCCTTACTAAGTTTTTTTACTTTAGAAATGAAAGAATTAGCACGAGGCTTCATAAGTGCGATAATTCTGTCATTATATACACACATTAGCGATTTCATTAAATATAAGATAATGGGCAATATAATATATTCTTACCCGTCGTAATCGGAACTTGTACATTCCTTGACCTTA